GTCAGTTTTGCCGTGTCTTTTTCATCTTTCTTTCATTCATTCTTTTGTGCTGTGAATGTGGATCCTTGCGTGTGTTTGTGAGTGCTTGTATTTTTGCGTACTTGTGCCTTTGTGTGTTTGTGTGTGTTGTGTGTTTGTGTGTGTGTGTGTTTGTGTGTGTGTGTGTGTGTTTGTGTGTGTGTGTGTGTGTGTGTGTGTGTGGGTGGGTGGGTGTGTATGTGTGTGATTGATTTCTTCTATATTTGCATATAAATACGTCACTTTAAACTATGCACTCTAAAACACCCAAACTCTGAGTCCCTTTTCATTCCATACCAAGTGTAAACGTTGCCGCCATACCTCCCCCCTCCCCCCCCCACCGCGCCCTCTTGCTAAACAAGGTTACACTTCGTCTCCCTCACCTTCGGCCGCTAATAATCACTTTACGGAGTTTTTCTTTCCTTCCCATAATAAACGAAACCTTTTTTCCGACCTTGCTCTTTCTGAGGGCCGCTGCTGATGCAATCTCTCTAGCGCCCCTCTCTTCTCTCTGCTCTCTTCTCTCTTCTCTCTCTTCTCTCTTCTCTCTTCTCTCTTCTCTCTGCTCTCTAATTCTCTCTTCTCTCTTCTCTCTTCTCTCTGCTCTCTTCTCTCTTCTCTCTTCTCTCTTCTCATCTTCTCTCTTCTCTCTTCTCTCTTCTCTCTTCTCTCTTCTCTCTTCTCTCTTCTCTCTGCTCTCCTCTCATCTTCTCTCTTCTCTCTTCTCTCTTCTCATCTTCTCTCTTCTCTCTTCTCTCTTCTCTCTGCTCTCCTCTCTATTCTCCTCTTCTCTCTTCTCTCTTCTCTTCTCTCTTCTCTCCTCCTCTCTCTTCTCTCTTCTCTCTTCTCATGCTTCTCTCTTCTCTCTTCTTCTTCTCTCTATCTTCTCGTCTTCTCTCTCTCTCCTCTCTCTGCTCTCCTTCTCCTCTTCTCTCTCCTCTCTTCTCTCCTCTCCTTCTCTCTTCTCTCTTCTCTCTTCTCTTGCTTCTCTCTTCTCTCTTCTCCTCTCGTACTCTCTTCTCCTCTTCTCTTCTCGTCTTCTCTCTTCTCTCTGCTCTCCTCGTCTCTTCTCTCTTCTCTCTCTCTCTCCTCTCTTCTCTCCTCTCTGCCATTCTCTCTTCTCTCTTCTCTCTTCTCTCTGCTCTCCTCTCTCTTCTCTCTCTCTCTTCTCTCCGTCCTCTCTTCTCTACGTTCTCTCTTCTCTCCTTCTCTCTTCTCCTCATTCTCTCTTCTCTCTGCTCCTCTTCTCTCTTATCTCTTCTCTCTTCTCTCTTCTCTCCTCTCCTCTTCTTCTCTCTTCTCTCTTCTCTTCTGCTTCTCTTCTCTCTTCTGCTCTTCTCAGTCTCCCTTCTCTCTCTCTCCTCTCTCTTTCTCTCTTCTCTCTGTCTTCCCTCTTCTTCTCTCTTCCTCTCTTCTCTCCTCTCTCTGCTCTCTTCTCTCCTCTCTCTGCTCTCTTCTCTCCTCTCTCTTCTCAAGTCTTTCTCTCTCCTCCTCTTCTCTCTTCTTCCTTCCTCTCGCCCGCTCTCTCTCTTCTCTCTGTTCTCTCTTCTCTCTTCTCTCTTCTCTCTTCTCTCTTCTCTCTCCTACTGTATCTTCTCATCCTCTCTCTTCTGCTCTTCTCTTCTCTTCTCTCTTCTCTCCTGCTCTCTTCTCTCTTCTCTCTTCTCTCCTTCTCTCTTCTCTCTTCTTTCCTCTCTCTGCTCTCTCTCTCCTTCTCTGCTCTCTTCTCTCCTCTCTCTTCTCTCTTCTCTCTCTCTCCTCTCTCTGCTCTCATTCTCGTCTTCTCTCTTCTCCGTCTCTCTCTCTCCTCTCTCTTCATCTCTTCTCTCTCCTCTCTTCCTCTCTCTTCTCTTCTTCTCATCTTCATCTCTTCCTCTCTTCTCTACTCTCTCTGCTCTCTTCCTCTCCTCTCTCTTCTCGCTTCCTCTCTTCTCCTCTTCTCTCCTCTCTCTTCTCTTCTTCTCTCTCTCTCCTCTCTCTTCTCTCTTCTCAGCTTTCTCTCCTCTCTCCATCCTCTCTTCCTCGCAATCTTCTCTCCTCTCTCTTCTCTCGTCTCTCTCCTCTCTTCTCTCCTCTCCCTTCGCTCTTCTCGCTTCTCTCTTCTCTCTGCTCGCTCCTCCTCTCACAGTCTTTCTCGTCTCTCTCTTCCTCCTCATCTCTTCTCTCTTCTCCTTTCATTCTTCTCTTCTCTCTTCTCATCTTCTCTCTTCTCTTCTGCTCCTCTTTCTCTGTCCTTCTCGTCTTCTCTCTTCTCTCTTCTCTCCTCTCTCTCTCTCTTCTCTCTTCTCTCTGCTCTCTTCTCTCTTCTCTCTTCTCTCTTCTCTCTCCTTCCTCTCTCTTCTCTCTTCTCTCTTCTCTTCTTCCTCTCCTTCTCCTCTTCCTCTCCTCTCTCTTCTCTCTGTCTCTCTTCTCTCCTCTCTCTCTCTCTTCTCTCTTCTCTCCTCTCCTCCTCTCTTCTCTCTTCTCTCCTCTCTCTTCTCTCTTCTTCTCTTCTCTCTCCTCTCTTCTCTGTCCTCTCACCTTTCTCTCGTTCTCCTCTTCTCTCGGCCTCTGCTCTCTTCTCTCTTCCTCTTCTCAGGTCTTCTCTCATTCTCTCTTCTCTCCTGGCTCTCTGCTCTCTTCCTCTCTTCTCTCTCTCCGGTCTTCTCGTCTTCTCTCCTCTCTCTTCTCTCTTGCTCTCTTCTCTCTTCTCTCATGCTCTTCTTCTCTCTTCTCTCTGCTCTCTTCTCCTCGTCTCTCTTCTCTCTTCTCTCTTCTCCATCTTCTCTCTTCTCTCTTCTCGTCTCTCTCTCTTCTCTCTTCTCTCTCTCTCGATGATATAGTATAGTGTGTGTGTGTGTGTTGTGGTGTGTGTGTGTGTATTCTTCCTCATCCCTCCCCCTCCTTCTTCCCCTCCTTTAGATAATTTTATCAAGTTTTTCTAACAAGCTCCATTTGCACCGTGAGGCAGGACCCCACTCGTCTTCTTCTTTTTTCGTCTACTTCTTCCTCCCGTCCTCTTCTCTATTTAGTCTTTATCACTCCCTTTCTTTACTTCCCTCTCCACTTTTCCTAGTTTCGTCTCCGAGAGAACTTTTCGTCTGTCCTTTTTATCTCCCATTCGCTTTGTCTTGACCGTCCTGGACTCCAAGAACGAGACTTTATTTTTTATTTTTATTTGATTTTCCTTCTTTTTGTCTTCTATTATGTTTTATCTAAACTTGTATTCATTTTGTGAAAATTTTAATTTTCATATTTATTCTATATTCATTTTTATATATTTCCTTTTTCTTTTTCTTTTTCTTTTTTTCTTCCTCTTTTTTCTCTCTTCTCTCTCTCTCTCTTCTCTCTTCTCTCTTCTCTCTCTCTCTCTCTCTCTCTCCTCTCTCTGCTCTCTTCTCCTCCTCTCTCGCTCTCTCTCTCCTCTCCTCTTCTCTCTTCTCTCTTCTCTCCTCTATCTGCTCTCTTCATCTCTTCTCTCTTCTCTCTTCTCTCCTCTCATCTTCTCTCTTCTCTCTTCTCTCTTCTCTCTTCTCTCTTCTCTCCTCTCTCTGCTCTCTTCTCTCCTCTCTCTGCTCTCTTCTCTCCTCTCTCTTCTCTCTTCTCTCTTCTCTCTTCTCCTCCTCTCTCTTCTCTCTTCTCTCTTCTCTCCTCTCTCTTCTCTCTTCCTCTCTTCTCTCCTCTCTCTCCTCTCTTCTCTCTTCTCTCCTCTCTCTTCTCTCTTCTCTCTTCTCTCTCCTCTCTTCTCTCCTCTCCCTTCTCTCTTCTCTCTTCTCTCTTCTCTCTGCTCTCTTCTCATCTTCTCTCTTCTCTCTTCTCTCTTCTCTCTTCTCTCTGCTCTCTGCTCTCTTCTCTCTTCTCTCTTCTCTCTTCTCTCTTCTCTCCTCTCTCTTCTCTCTTCTCTCTTCTCTCTTCTCTCTGCTCTCTTCTCTCTTCTCTCTGCTCTCTTCTCTCTTCTCTCTTCTCTCTTCTCTCTTCTCTCTTCTCTCTTCTCTCTTCTCTCTTCTCTCTTCTCTCTTCTCTCTCTCTCGATGTATATATGTATATGTGTGTGTGTGTGTGTATGTGTGTGTGTGTGTGTGTATTCTTCCTCCTCCTCCCCCTCCTGTTCCTTCCCCTCCTTTAGATAATTTTATCAAAGTTTTTCTAACAAGCTCCATTTGCACCGTGAGCAGGACACCCACTCGTCTTCTCTTTTTCGTCTACTTCTTCCTCCCGTCCTCTTTCTCTATTTTATGTCTTTATCACTCCCTTTCTTTACTTCCCTCTCCCTTTTTCCTAGTTTCGTCTCCGAGAGAAACTTTTCGTCTGTCTTTTTATCTCCCATTCGCTTTGTCTTGACTGTCATGGACTCCAAGAAGCGAGACATTTATTTTTATTTTTATTTTTATTTTCTGTCTTTTTGTCTTCTTATTTATGTTTTATCTAAACTTGTATTCATTTTGTTTATTTATTTTCATATTTATATCTATATTCATTTTTTTATATATTTCTTTTTCCTTTTCTTTTTCTTTTTTTCCTCTTTCTTTCTCTCTTTCTCTCTCTCTCTCTCTCTCTCTCTCTCTCTCTCTCTCTCTCTCTCTCTCTCTCTCTCTCTCTCTCTCTCTCTCTCTCTCTCTCTCTCTCTTTCTCTCTCTCTCTCTCTCTCTTTTCTTCTCTTTCTCCCTCTCTTTACCTTCCTTTTCCCTTCCCTCCCTTTCCTCCTTTCTCTCCGATTCCCTCTTTCTTGTTCCTCTCCGATTCCTTCTTTCTCCTTCCTTCCTTTTTTTCCCTTTTCCCCTTTCTTCTTTCCTCCCTTTCTTCCCCTTCTTTCTTCCCCATTCCCCCTTTCACCACTCCTCCCCCGCCCCCCCCCCCCCCTTCCCACCACAAGAGCGATCACACTTCCCCAAAAGCCTCGAGTCAGCAGCGCCCCCCCCCCACTCTCCCCCCCCGAAGGGCAATGCGAAGAGGACGAAGGAAATGAAAATGCACGAAAAAATATGCACAATCGCCAATCTTTT